ACAGTACTCGAATATAGTACCTGCGATAACGTCTGTTGCTATGGTAGAGTGACTAGCACCTGTGTCTAATAGAAACTTACCGTCGAACTCTGGTATTATAACGTATGTTAGGAATTTCTTGTCTTGAAAATTAATCGATACTAGGTCCGGTTGTCTTGGTTGATATCCAAGGTAAAATCCTGATCGTAACTTACCTCTTGTTCATCCAAGGTCATATTTTGGTATGAGCTAGTTAAGTCATTACCATCAGTGACATGGTTAGAGTAATCTTCATCACTGGGTCCTAGTTGATCCTGAGTGTTTATTTGACTTGGCATGTAGAATAATTCTTGAGAAGCAAACTGTGGTTTTTCTGGCTTACCTGCCGTACGCATTGTAACGTCAGATGACACGGGCGTGGGAACCGGTGGTTTTGGAATGTTAGGCTGGTTCCTAAAGTTTCCGCTCCTAAAATTGCCTGAACCATTTGGTCTGAAATTACCTGATGATGGTCTGTTCTTCCATGGCAACATGGATTGAATCCACTGCTGACGTTGCTCGGGGGTAAGGTTGTTTTGTTGAGGTACAAAATTCGGTTGGGGTATAAATGGGGTAACTGGTTGGTTACCGAAGTTAGTCTGTGCGAATGGATTTACTTGGTTACGAAGGGGGTTATTATTAGTTTGAGGTTTAGGTAACTCCTTTGGTTTCGCTTGAGACGTTGAAGGGTTAAAATAGCTTTGTCTATTGTATGCAAGCCTAGCCTCCTCTTGCCTAGCCGTTATGATAGCTGCTTCGAAGGTGTCTGGTTTGGCTATCCTTACACCTAGAGACACGTGGAAGTCTAACTGGTTGACGTATTGCTCAATAACCATCTTCTCATAGTATGATTTGTTGCCGTGCTCACCTACAGAATAAAGGGTATCTAATAACTCACGAAGACGTTTACCGAAGGTCTCGGCATCCTCTGTCTTAGCCCTACGCACTCTAGTGAGCTCCTGCATAACCTGGATTTCATTACGTGGTTCTCCTAAACGTCTAATTAACGCATTTTTAACGGCGATCCACGAATTGAGACTATCTTCATATGCTATTGCATCCAAGGCCGTACCACTGAGCCTACTTTTAATTAAACATATTAATGCTGGATGTGAACGATCTGCTTCACTGGTTAAATTTAATAAACATTCTACCTCTCTAATGTAATAGTTTAATAATCTAGGGTTACCATCATATTTTGGCATTAAATCTGCAATTAGTTTATATGGTTTATAGTTAGCATCATAATCTCTGAGCGACATTGTACTTCTGTAACTTAACTGTCTAGTGGCACTCGGTGCGAAACAATGTGAGTATAGTCAGAATTTTAATTAGATTCCAGATTTGACATTGGCTACTGTCATTTTGTGAAATAATGATACCACATATAATAGTCTAGTGATGAACACAAAAATCGATATACAATCAATGTGTGTGTTTTATATTAAATGTTACAGAAAGTGACAGCGATAGCGATAGCGATGACGGCGACAATGTATAAAATAACTTATTACCATAATACATCTTTTTGTTTTATTTGTCATGTTCTTTCATGGTTACATTTTTTTATTTATTTCACACACAATTATAAAAGAAGAGTCTCAGATCGTTAATTAACCGTCAAAACTAAATTATCGATCAGAAATATTTAATTTCCTGATAAACTTAGTTTACCAAAGTAAAATTATAAACGAGAAGAATCGATCCAGAAATATTTCATTTCCATATCGAATAATTTCGCAACGTCACTATTTAGTACTTGTCATAACGTGACAACACTGAAATTGTCAAATCTGGAATCGAATTAAAATTCCGAGTATAATTCTACACCTAAGTTTATTCTAAGAAATTACGAGTGGTTGCCTACTGCGATTATAGCTTATAGACAGACACTTATCAATATAATAAAATACACATATAAACTAAGACGGGAAATAGAGCAAGGACACTTGGTAAAACGAGAGTACTTACCAAAATAGCCACTGCATCTCCTGTCGAGTCTCTTCTCAATCAGCGCAGCTTCCTCCAATTCTCCGGAAGATTTATCCCGATGATTATAAAGGTGTCCGACCGCACGATAGGTTCGTTGCGGATCGCGAAGGAACGATTTAAGAACCGTCACTCTTGTCCCGAAGAGGTATATTCGAAATTCGAGCGTCGCGAATCCTACCGACTGCGCCAGTTATGTTTCGGCGGTCGGGATTTTGATTAAAAAAAGATTTATTTAATAATTACAATTTAATTATATTAATTAGTCAATACAGGATGTTATTTAGCTGGTGATCGCGATTAGACTAGCTATCTAATGTCATTATACAATGCAATTGTAAATTGAGTAAATGCTGAGTTGCATAAAGCCCTAGCTGCTATATCATCAAAAGGGTTCGAAATGGTGGGTTACGATGAGTTAACTCGAGGTATGTACGTGAAACACAATGTGTTTTCTATTGTGTCTTATATACCGCCATTCAGGTTAATTATTAGGTAAGTTATCATCTCAAATAAGATAATTTTAATAGTACCTTAACGTAAATATTACTAAAGTTTCATCTTGTGCCGACCCTACGACCACCACTACAGGCGACTTACTCACACTACTTTATGTGACACTTTATTAGAATATTTAGAACCATATAGACATATAACAAAGAGGAATATTCGGTTTCTAAGAACAATTCTGTCAACGACACATATATTATGACCTACATAGGTATCTACACAATATACATATGTTCATCTGCATACTTTGTTAACATTATGGCGGTGACACATCGAGAAGAAGTCAGGTGACCGAATTTGTGACTTGTGACGTCATAAACTCTGAAAAATGCTAGATGCTGACCAAATGCTGGAGTTCATTTCAAACTCAATGTTTTTGATGACAAGACATAGACCAAAGTCAAATTAGAAACTGCAGCGCATAAACGTTATGCTTAGCTAAATCATTCCTTGTTTTCCTATGCATCTATGTGCTTAGTTTTAAATACAAACTAAAATAAGCGCAGACAATTTCCGAACCAAGATACAATATTTAATCATTACAATTATCAAAATCTCGAAAACTACCTTTTAACGACATAACATAACATCACGCCTTTTATCCCCGTAGGGGTAGGCAGAGGTGCACATTATGCCACTGTACAATGTAACACCCACTTTTCACTATTTACGTTATGAGTCCCATGTAATAGGAGGTGAGCTTATTGCCATATTCCAGACTCCGTGCTAGTACTGAGAATTTTTTAAAATCCCAGTAATACTGAATACTTTTTAACAATAGTAATTATTACCTAAAACTGGGGAACAATTCAAAATTGTCTCCTCACTACAATCTTACCATATCTTGTCCCAACACTAATTGAAAACAATTTGACGTCAAGAGAAAACAGAGCTCCACTATTACGTAGAAAATACGTAATCCAAAACAGCTTTAGCATAAGTCAATTCCCAAAACTAATTAAGTAAATAGAACCCAAGTTTGGAGCTATGTTAATCCCAAACTATACACAGTACAATCTAAACAACTTTAGAATTAATTCGTGATGGGACAATAAGGGACAATGGCTAATAAATATTAATATCGGTCAGGGATAATATCTCGGACATGAATAAATAATTGTATGACCACCGTGTAGTGTTGCGAAAATTATCAATTTCCCGGTCTGTCCCGCGTCCCGCGTCCCGGGCCCCGGGATTCAGACAGACAACCCTTAACTTCGGGACTGTTTGACTTTGTAGGGCTGGTGCAGATCATAAAATTTAATATGGATTACATTTTTATGCAACGGAAAATTAAACTAATAACAAAGTAGATGTATGACGGACTTCAGTGTTCTGGTGTTTTCATGGTTAATATCTACTGTAGATCCTAGATAACAGGAAATGCAGCAGTTATGCAATTTTGGGAGGTAGTGCGAGCTTTTCCATTAAAAAAAGTAGATGTATAAATTTAGATAAATTTTTTATTAATTCAAAAATGAATTATTTATTGTAATATAATTAAAGTTCTACATTTTTTGTTACAAATGATATCTACTATTTTTGTTTATTTTATAACACAAACACAATAAAAAGAAATCATTGTAATAAAATGTTCAGAGTATCATGGTAAGGAACAATACAGCAAGAGCAACATACCTTCCAAATGCTACAAGATAAGTAGAAGATAGGTGCCTTCAATACAGGTAAAACAAATAAATCCTTACTTAATACTTATTACTTAATTTACTTAATTTTTGTAATATTATAAATCTGAAAGTGAGTTTGTTTGTTTGTTCCACCTTCACGCCGTAACTACTCAACCGATTGCTTTGAATTTTTGCAGACGTAAAGTTAGAAGTCCGGATTAAATAATAGGGTACTTTTTAACCCGGAAAAAATTGATATTCCCGAGGAAAAACAAAAGTATTGGTATAGATAGCGCTGTGTGTATAGGAATATGTTACATAGGCTACTTTTTATTCTTTTGTGACGCAAGCGAAGCTGCGGTTAAAAGCTAGTATAATATAAGAAACAATACATATCTTGATATTAATATTGCAACAGAAATAAATAATTTTACTAGCAGCCCTGCGTATCAACCCTACACCAACCCCTTCCCTCCGGGTCTCATATCAAGTACAACATAAAAGCAATTCAGCAAATTGTTATTGACATGTTAATAGTTTGAATGTCGCGATGTCGCCGGTAGCAGGGTTAATATTATGATATGTCCCACGTTAGGGGTTATTAAGACTCAGGCGGGCGGCGGAAGGTTAAGTCGTTGTAAGCAATTATTTTAATTGAATTGTTGGTAATTTTGTGCTTGTGTCGTAATTTCGGTTTTATTTGCGGTTGAAATATCTTAGATCCTGTAGTACTAATGTATAATGTCTTAGATGACTGCACGGTTGGCGCACGGAACAACTCTTTGTGTAATCCAAAAATTGTTGTTTCGGGTCTAGATGTCATGTGTATTTGAACTTGTATGTTTGTAAACGCACCCACGACACAGGAGAAAGTCCTAGTGCGGAGCAACATTTTTTTCTTAAAAAAAGTAGAATTAAGATGGCACAAAGTTACGTGTGGTACACAAAAATGTTATTTTGAATGTAAATGCCTTTAGAATTTGTTTTGTTTTTTTATAGCATCAACCGGTAAACGAGCAGACGAATCACCTGATGGTATGCAATCGGGAATTGGGAATTAAAGGATTGTGGAGGATATGGGGATTCGGGAGACTAGGGAGGGGCAATTGGGCCTCCGGTAACCTCACTCACACAACGAAACACAACGCAAGCGTTGTTTCACGACGGTTTTCTGTGAGGCCATGATATCACTCCGGTCGAGCCGGCCCATTCGTGCCGAAGCATGGCTCTCCCACACTTCGCTATTAACAAGATAAGTGAAAACTTAATTGGAAGTTCATGTTGGAAAAAATCAGAGGACAATAATAAGATAAAAGAGACCTAAAAGCCAAAAGTTATTCTTGGCCGTTTCTTAAAATCTTGTTTCTCTTCTGTCTAATTACAATCTACTCCTAAGGGTGATTTTAAGCAACGATTTTTATTAATTTAAGACCATAGGAGGCAAACGAGCAGACGGATCACCTGATGGTAAGCAATAAGCGCCGCTCATAGACACCCGCAACACCAAAGGAGTCACAGGTGCGTTGCCGTTACGTGAATATAATAATAATATTATCTTGTGCTACAGGTTAATTAATATATCTTGAGAAATAAACTACAAACCATAATATCCAACCCCACCAAAACCCACACATCACAAAAGGATTCCCTAATACAAATTAATAATATCAAATACATTTTTCGATACTAAACCAAATTATAATATAACCCTTTATCCGTTTACGTAACAAGCTTCCAATTAGCAACGCAATCCTGTGTTCCTTCAAGCTATTCCTCTACTCCTCCACTCCTCAAGTCCTCCGGGTTATTCCTCGATCCGCTAAGGGATTGTAGATGTTAGACAATTTTGAAGATAATGAATATAGCCCGAGGACATCACTAGTGTTTGTGTTACGTGACATCTGTCACAACCCTATGATGTAGAGTGTATACGATTTAGTTTTGACTAAAAGGGATAGTTTAATGAATTTTGATTTATTTATCTATTTATTTATTTATATACACTTTATTATACACTACAGACTACCTCGTTGGCCGAGTGGTCGCAAGTGCGGCTGCCGGGCAAGGGGTCTCGAGTTCGATTCCCGGATCGGGCAAAATATTACTAGTTTTTTAAAAAAAAATCTCAATAGTAGCACGTAGTCTGGAATTGTGCCCGGTATATGGCAATAGGCTCACCCCCTATTACATGGGAGTCATAACATAAATAGTGAAATGTGGGTGTTACATTGTACAGTGGCATAATGTGCACCTCTGCCTATTCGTTCGGGGATAAAAGGCGTGATGTTATGTTGTACACTATAGAAGCAAAATTATAGGACAACTTCAACAAAAATAGTTTACAATGTGTGGTCTTATCGCGCAAGGCGATTTCTTCCAGACAACCTTCGTATGGAGCAGTAATAGAAGAATATGACCTACTTTGTTATACCTAGACAGTGACAGGTGACTCATTAGTCTTAAGTATAATGCATCTGTGTGAATAGGATATTTCCTAGATTATAGTAAGTTTTTTTTTAATTTTCAACTTTCCCACTAGTTACCAATAGGTAGTAGGTAACACAAAATTAAACTAACCTATTAATATACCTAATATATAAAATGAACTATACATGTTTATAAGTTCCTCTCGCAGTACTTCAGGCATTCCGACAAAATCTCCTTCCATCCATCCGCAAACTGATTACTAGTAGTAGTACACTTTTTGTTTCTGCTCATCATTGCGTACAAAACCCACTGTCGGCAGATGGCATGGTCACTGTGGCGACTCTGTATAAATAATTCAACTCATTAGGGATCGATTGTGACCGCTCCACGATACCCGATAGCTTGTACCGGTACACTAAGCATCACACTAGACACCACTATATATTTTTATACTAGCTGTGGACCGCGAATTCGTTCGCGTAGAATATAAATTTTAGAACATGACTTTTATTAGGTTTTTTTTCCAACATAAAAGTACCTATCCTTTTTTCCTCCTTGGTACATCAGCTACCTGCCAATAAAAGTCTTACAAAATCGGTTCAGCCATTCCGGAGATTAGCCAATACAAACAGACAGACAGACAAAAATTGTAATTTGTTATGTGTATCGTATATTCATATACATGCAGTAAAAAGCGGTTATTTTATTATAATATTACAAACACAGACTCCCATTTTATTTATCTGTATACATTAGACAAAGATAAAATTAATCAAAGACTAAACAGAAGTTTAGAATAATGGTCGATATGGGGTAAATATGTATCCTAAGTACATATGCTCATTTACTATTTATAAAGGTAGATATAGCAAAATTATCTAATCAAAATCTAAAATAAGGTAAAATATTCATAAGTAATTAGTCCTTATGTAAGAACCGTTAAGTCTTGATGGAGCCCTGTGGAGGCTCTCTAGTAATTTCCAATTATCCGCCTATGTGAACGATCTAGCTATTTAACAAAGCCATTTCTCTAGACTGGCGTTTATAGCATATTGTCTGTTTCAAATCGCTCTAGACAGTTATAAATCTCTAGGCTTTAGACTGACCCTTCCTTCTTGAATTAAGTAGATGTTCGTTCATAATTTTACAACGTTAAAGTCAGTGTCCAGTGTTTGCCTTTCGGACGACCCAAAAACAACAAAAAATAAGATGTGTACGATGATTTATGCGGGCAAAATGGCGTCTTACAAAATCTCAAGCCGTCATTTAGACCCCAGACAAGACATTTAATTACTCGTAATTTATCGTCGACACTAATCCGCGAACTTCTGGCCAACAAGAAAAAATAACAAAAAATCTATCCCCTTGATTACAAGCTGTCACGTCGTAGGATTTTTCCTAAGCCCTCGTTTTAATTAGTCACGTCGGTTTGTACGCGTTCTCGAGTGGAGAACATCCATTTTCTTAACTACTGTAATTGCCCCCACCTCTGATGTTGCCAGCCGCAAAATTTATTGCTTAATTACCTCAAGAAAACGCGTCGCGCTCAACATCCCCGACAGATGTTTTTTATTCGCCGTGGAAAAACAAGAACGGTTTAAGAATGACATTAATTAATTCTTAATGAAATTCATCTTCACCCTCGGCTTGTTTTAAATTAAACGCTCGATTTATTACTTGTACAATTTGTCGCGAACTCAGCCCTCGTAATTAAAACACGACCATCAGTTATTACATTTATTAGCGACACAAAATAGTTGTAAAAACTCCGTTTTATATTACAGGCTGATACTAAAATAAATACTACATCGATATTAAATGCTGTCGAAGGTTAATAGCTTTACGTGGTTAGACGTTTGTGGCTATTTTTTCAAATTGATTTCTTTTGAAAATCGAGCCAGAAACGGTGTATTTATTTTAATATTTTCTTTGATACGGTTCGTCGACTGGTCCGTGTATAAGAGGCTCATCGTACCGAAAGAATGTGGTATCTGCACGAACTATATCTGGGTAACTCTTATGGGAGATTGGTTCGTTATAAGAATCAGCGCTATCGTGGTACTGATGGCTGTTTATAAGATTTCTGTTTGCATTCATTGAAGTCTTGAATTTGTCTTCTTTTTGAGGTAAAATCGGTGTTGGTGTTACTTTGTCTTCTATTTTCTTGTCTTTAGCTACAGTGCCTGCTCCAGCCAAGTCTCTATAATTCCTCTCATCTTTTCTCAAAGGAGCGTAGGGGTACCTGCTTCTAAATCTGTAGTCGTACCTTCCATTCCTCGCGTAAACATCATCATCAAAACGCCTGTAGGGGTCTGCAGAATACCTGTACCTCAAATCCACACTAGGAGGAGTACGGACCACCTCTGGTAAGTGCGCATAGTAAATGATCCTCTTCGGTTTTCTAGGTACCATGTTATCATAAGGCTCATCATATCTATCCACTCGTGGACCGTAGTAAGGGTAGTAGCGTCTTCGATCGACCATATCATAGTATGGATCCCTGCGATACAGATCATCTGGAACTGGGTAGTATCTATCATCATAGAAGAACCTTCTAGATTCTTCTGGAATCGGTGGATTATAAACAGCTTGTCGTGGGAACACTGGTTTGTACTTATTTCTATCCCTATCTCTATCTTCATCGGGCCTCACGAATTCTGTTCGGATTTCATCGGTTCTTGTCGATCTTTGCACTGATTCTTTGTCGTTTCGGGATTCCGAAGCTTCTAACGCTTTGTTCTGAGTGACAAAGTTTACTCTTGGCATTCTGGAATTGATCAGATCGCCTGAAGGTTGAGGTGGAGTGAGGATATTGTCTCTTTGATCCCTTTGTTCTCTTTGATCTCTTTGGTCTCTCTGATCCCTTTGGAGATCATCATGACCAGGTATAGGCAGTTTGATCCAGTTTTCGTTAGACGCTCTTGCTCCTCGACCTGTTGGTTTGTCAGTCACTCTCTCTGTCGTCTGATACAGAGGTAAGACTTCTTTGACTTCATTAGTGATGGATATTTTAGTAGTAGGGTCTTCTGGGGGCAAGGGTCCTGGTATCCAAGGTTGGTTCATGTTCATATTGATGTCTTGTCGATGGGACTGCATGTTGTAGTACTTTTCTTCTTCGATAACTCCTCGTCGACCTCGAACGGAATCAGATTCTACGTTAACCTGTAATTGTAAAAGTAGGTATTGTGACAAACATAATTGTAAGTAAAACAATTTTTCCCGAACAGTTCACATATCAATATTTTTTTAATTCCTTTTTTTTTGAGGGGGAAAAATCATCCAATGACTTCTCCCGCCTGGGTGAGGCGGGAGGGAGTGTCAGACTCTTACTGACTAAAAACCACCCCGTTCCTACACCTGCACTTCGAACCGGAGCCCCGGCAACCCGTTAATTTTTTTTTTTTTAATTCCTGGAACTAACTCTTTGAAGTATCCTACAGATAACTGAGTACACCTATCTGTATTAACTTTTTTAGAAACATGTTAATACATCAATGTTCTTTCACTAGCTGCAATAGTTTTGCCCCAACATGTCTCACACCCGAATTCCTCATAATCCGTTCCAAAACCTATTTCTGCTTCAATCTGAGTTGTAACACCGACACCGACATTCTTAAACACATGTGTTAATAAATGCAAAGATTTTTTGCATTTAGCAATGTGTATACAAATCGAACGCGTGTAAATTGAAAACAGCTGTAGGTTTTTCCAGGTGGGCTGTAAAGAATCCAGTGGGTGGTAACTCTGTGACCTGTCTGGCTAGATGTAAACACTGAGTCACGAGTCACTATGAGAAA